GGAATCTAGATATAAAATCACACATTTTTAAATGCAAAGGGGGCTCCGAGGAACTAAACCATTTCTATGTGCTGTGTGCAGTGTGTGAATATATTTTTGCTGGAAAGCAGAGAGAATTTTGTTCCCTCACCATTGCTCTCCCAGGAGTGGCCAGCACTCTGTGCAGGGTGGCACGGAGAGCTTGCTGTGATCTTCTCTTGCCTCCTCTGCTGGGAACAGAGTGACAAATCCAAGCTTGAGAGATGCAGGTTTGAGTGAGGGTCTTTTTTCAAACTTGGCTGACCTTTGCTTTCCTCTTCTCTGCATATGGAGATCTCTATTAGGAAAAGAGTCACTTCATCTGATGTCAAAGAGAAGGGTGGGATCTTTAAATTTATGGAAGCATTAGACAGGCTGAGTACAAAATAGGAATAATCTGCACATTTACAAGAACAGATGTCCAAAAAGTATTTCTTATACTCAGATGTTCTGTTTTTAATATTCTGAGAATTCATTGTGTTGTTCCTGGATTTTGAAATGTGGGACTTCCTTTGAGGGAGGAAGGTTGTTTAGCAGTGATATAGAATAAGTGCACTGAAGAAGTTTAAAGCTCAGCACAGATAGCCACTGGGAAATAAAACACAGTTCCTCAAGCTTTTAATTGCCCCAAAGCCTAAGGATTCCCAAAAGCCAACTCCATTGGAGGCTCTGTGCCAGGCTGCAGTCTTGCCCTCAGGACCCAGCCACACTGGTCCTGGTCTGCTGCACATGCACAGCTAAAGGTGGCCCTGCTCTCACCTCCAGCCAGCCTGCTGTGCTCTGTCTCGTTGGTCACAGCTGGGCTTTCTGCTGCCTGATATGAGGAAGTAGCTGTTTTGTTCTGTTATTGCAGTTGTCTCCTGAATCATCCTGAAAGGAAACTTCTGAATAAGCTCAGCAAAATGCTCCCTCTTTTGCTAGTAAACACTGTAATGTTTACTTGATTCTGGCACTCCACCCTTTTGCCTATTATCTCCTCAGTATCTTGATTATTAACAAATAAGCAAAGCACATCCTATTTTTGTGCTGAAGTACAGTATATACAGTGGGATGCTGACATAATGGGAACAAATGATAAAGCAGGAGCACTCACAACACATCAAGCTTCTCTAGCTGTAAGAGGAATATCCTACAGCATGGATCTGCAGATAAGAATACCTATATTTGAGCTAGTTTAGGTGCAGCTCCAATATCCCAGGCTGCAAAAACCATCACAGCTTCAGGCTAAGTATCAAAGCAACCTGCCCATGATGTGGATGATCTTGTTGCTACACTAACACCAGCACCCTAGCCAGCCTTAGCTACATAACCCAGGTATGATCACTGAAGTTGAAATGAAACACCTAGATCATACAGAAAACAGGACAGAGGGAGCAGCTCCTGGTGACTGGATGCATGTTAGCTGGGACAGGCACTATGACCAAAAGCTCACTGTCTCTGCAAGACCCATACCTGACTGTAGCCAAGGAGAAGAAACTGGAGAAAAAGCCCACATCGCATTTAGAGAGATCAAAATGAAGCCACAGTCAAAGAAATGTCATGAAGACTTTGAGGCAACACCCATATTATTCAGAGCTGTGTCAGTCAACCAGAAAAATCTCGTTCTGGCTAAAACCAGGTCACCAGGACTGTGGTTAAAATCAGTTACAGTGTTTACATTCTCTTTACATTCTTGGCAATGCCTGGAGCATAGACGTAAAAATGGCAAGAACATTCTGCTCATTTTTCCTGAGTGCTCTTCCCTCCATAAAGACACAGCATAAAGATGACCAAGACAGGGTGGGAGGCAAAAGGAAATGTTTTCTCTTTTCCCCCTGCTAATATGAGACAAGACCTTCAAAGCAGGAACAAATACTACAAATACACATATATTATTTTGTTTAGAAGGTTCATTGTACAACTGGGGACTGGAGGAAAAGAAAGAACACTTCCTTCAAGTATTAGGCCATATTCAACTCCAAATCAGCCCACCTTACTGGCCATTTAAATGAACAGATGTCCCTGTTTTTGAAGTAAAGATGCCAATAGCTTAACCACTGAGAAATGAATATGGCATTTTTTCAACTCAGTTCTCAAAGCTGAAAATATAGTTCTGAATTCAGCAGGATTTTCCACCTAGCACAGAAGCAAGGTACTGCTGAAGCTGTTACACCCTTGCATTTCTCCTGTACTATAAAGTATAAGCTCTTGCCTCTGAGCTGGGCAGGTTTTGTTGTTATGTTTGAAACACAGCAGAGCAAGTAACTTGGCTGATGACTGCTCACTGTTTTGACACAGCAGTTCCTAAGGGGGTCCTCATAAAGAAATTTTTAAATTCTTAAAATTTTTAAATTCTTTAAAAAACATAGTGGCATGCTGTTCAAAAACTTTCCAAGCGGCATTACAGCTTGCCAGAGCTAATAAGCACTTCCAGGCTCTTTTTTCCCCAAGTATTTCTTTTGCTGTACAGCCACTTCAGAAAACAGCTAGCATGGGCTGTGGCTGCTACTCTTTCAATTACCTTTCCCCATTTGTTGTAAGACAGATACTCTTATCCTGCCCTCTGTGGCAAGGCAAGCATCGGGGAATGGAAGAGCTGTGAAGACACAGCAGAGCCTTGGTTGTGGAGAAATTTCCAACTGTCTTGGAATGAACTGGGCATCCAAATTCCTTCAAAATTACTAGGCTTCCTGTACATAAAACCAGATGTTTACCCATTAAATCCATTGCCTTTTCCTCACTGCACCTGTCTGTGAGAGTACTGTTATTTCTTCTTGAGGACTTCATTTACAAAATATGGCAGGATGAGAAATATCTCAAGAATGATGGTTTGTTTTCCTTTGACACATCAGGACAAGTATCTCCCAGCAAGAGAGATATTTTCTTCTGGGACATTTACAGATCAAACCAGACAGGACAAAAATGTGACTAAGTGTGATAAATGGCTCAGTGTTACCGTCCACACACTTTTGTGTCACCAAGGATCCAATCAGAGAGACTGACATTTAACTTTGCTCTTTCCCTCAGCCCACAGATCTCAAAATGTATTAAATCCTCAGCTCCAGCCTCCAAAGGTAAGCTAAGGATATGAGAGAACTAATTTCAGCAGCATGGCTTTAAAAAGTAGAATTCATACTCTATTTATATAGAACTCAAATTAATGTACAGAAATTATAATAAATATCAAACTCTCCACCATCCTCAGAAAGCCACCCTAAGTGGTGTTTCACTTCTGAAATAACAGAAATATGAAGATATCAGTATTTGCCTGTACTTCCTGACCAACTCCAGCCCCTGCAAGTCAGCCATTAAAAAAGCCAAGTCTGCAACTGAGTGAGTAAAGAATCTACCAAATGATGATTTGTAGTAATTAACAGGAAGAACAAGCACTGTAATATAATCTATTCATCACTAAGTTACATAGTTCAGAAATAATTACTGATACAATGTTTTTTCTAGCATACTGCAAACACATTTTAGAAGCATCAGAGCAACCACGATTTGCTAAGTAGGTTTCATACACTTATAAACCTGTTATGCATGAAGGTTTCCTGTGTAAGCTTTTGATCTTGTTCTTCCACTTTCACACTGAAGGTACGGCACTAACATCACACATGAAATAAAGCAAGAATTTCAGTTGAGCTGTGAATGTTTCCTAGTGTAAATAGCATACCTCTTTCCAGAAAATATGGCAGTAAATGCAGAAAGTTTACCTGTTATGAACAGTTAAACACATTGCTACATGCATTCAAAAATCATGTTCTTATTTTCATCTAAACAGAATGTGAATAACTGCTATTAAATTAGTCAGACAGTTCTTAGACCAGTCATATGTTTAGAAAATCAATTTCCCCTTGTTTTTTACATCAGCTCCCTTTTTCCTTTTTTTTTTTCCACTAAAGGTTTTACTTTTCAGAAGCAAAGCTCACCTGTTAACTTCTGAAAGCTCACCAGTGTTTCTTGTAGGGTGTTTTGTGGAGGACTATAGTATTAAAACTGTTCACCTGTGTTAATTAGATACATCTGTTTCAGAAAATAAATGAGTGTCTAGAAACCACTTCTGCTTGGCCATATGCAAATTAGGCTAGCAGACATTTTGGAACTGAATAAAAAAGTGCTTTAAGTGTGCAACTACAGCCACAAATGTGGTACTGTAAGTGACCTCTGATGTGAATGTTTCCTGTACTTTTTTTCTGAGATGGCAAGATATTGTGTTTCCTAATAGTTTGTTCACACTGCACGCCTATAAAAAGAAATCAGCAACAAGATTATCTTCTGTCTTGTACACAGTGATAGGACAGATAGCAAGCAAGGCCAAATTGCTACAACCTCAAAGCTTCATTTCTGCTGTCTAAACTAGGTGAAAAACATGGGCTTCTTTTCATTTCCTCAGAGGAATGCAGAATTCCCAGACTATATGCAGTGCTATTACCTGGAGAGGCAGCAATGAGATACTATTCAAGAACAAGCATTGATTTTCATGAGTGGATGAGCAATGTATTTTGCCTTTCTGCCAGAAACAGCAGTGCAATAAAGTAAGACAAATGAGATGCCTACTCCTGCAAAATTTTGCATCTCAGTTCAACAAACCCCTCAACAGGTATGACCAGACCACAAGACCACAAAAAAGTAGACATGCTTTTTGTTGTATCATCCATAGTGCTCATAATACCAAAATTAGAGACTGCCAGACTTCTCATCATACATCTGCCCTGGGTGTCATCTCCCCCCAAACGTGTCCAGACACCTGAACAGTCAGCATTTTCAACCATGTTTTGAAGACAACTTTAGGATGCAGTGTAGACATATATCACAGGACTATCAGTAATAAAATTAAGGTGCTAAATGTATGTTGCTGATAACAATGAGGCAAAGAAGAAATTGCACATGATTTTGCAGGAGTTACTCTACCTTATCAGGATCCTTGGAGATTCAAACTGAAACATGTTTGCATACAAAAGAAACTGTATGACATTTGCAGAACTTTTTTTTTTGTACATTACCTTTAAGACGAAGCAGTGATCTGTAGGTGCCTTATATTTCACTTTGTGTTGATAACCATAATACACGTTCACGTTCTCAAATTGAAGGAAGCATGCCAGATCCCGTGATGTCTACAAATGAAAACCAAGCCCATCATTGTTAGAGCAAATTGAATTTTGATGTGAAACTCATTAATAGGACTTTTATCAAATGCACGAATGCCAGTGAAGCTGACTGAAAAAAACAAGGATTAATTTTAAGTGTCTGCTTTCTTAAAATAAAAATTGGAAGAGGGTCAGTACATATTATGAATAATCTACAACACAGTTCAACATTTTGCTCTTGGTCTGGTTATGCTGTGCTTCATTGCTTTGTGTGAAGATTTTAGCTTATGTCTAACATGACAAAAGAGAACACCACAATAATAAACCACACCCTTAAAATTCTGAGTGGAAAAAGAAGGTTTGGGGTTCTAAATTGCTTTGGGACCTTGTTTTTCTTTTGTACATGTAACAAACAAAACCTCACCAGGAAATAACACGTTTAATCTGTTTTGCTTTGAATTTTCTCAAATTTCTTGACATCATTCTATTTCTGTTTATCCTAACATTTGCTTTTTCACAATATATTGTGAAAGTAACAAGGTTTCTGTTGCTGGCATGTTTCTCAGTGATGAAGTTTCCTTTTGCAATACTTTGTGTGGAAATGAATAAATAGCCATTTCACATGGTCACTGTTGGCTAAACTGAGAAATCAGGAAATTGTGAGGGGGGAAAAAGGAAAAATAAAGCAACAAACCTCAAGCTCCCTCTAGCCCTAAAAATGGGGTATGAAATTATTTGGGGGTATGTTATAATATGCATATGATAGTTCTTGTCTGCTGTTCTCATTCTTAATGATATTTTCATTACAACACATCCTTGAGATGGTTTTATTTACAAACTGAGTTTGCAAGAAAGATATGTGACGAAACACTTCCTACTAGATGGAGACAGGACTTCTCTCTTTCTCCTCTCTCTGCTTCAGCTGATGATGCCAGAGATTTTGTCAGTGAGTGTGTGGACCTCGGTTTTTCAAACATCCTTAAGTTCCTAAATGTGCTCAAATCCATCCAGTATAATGTGTTGTTCCTTTCCTTTAGGAACCAGGCAATAGTGATTAAGACCAATATGAATGCAGTTGTTATTATCTTCTAAGGAACAGATTTTTATGCAAGGGACAAAAGCGCTTAATGTGAGTATTTGTGCAATGTTAACACGACACAGCAATGTTAACATGACAAAGCAACACAATTAACAGAAATAGATTTTTAAATTATCTGTTATTCTGATGCTTTTGTTTTGTGACCCTGTCTATTAGCAGAACGTTTTTGAATGGGATGTAAGTAGAGCAATGCTGAAGAAAGAAATTAAGACAGCAGTGCTGACAGGTGCTGGTTTGTTAACAAATAACCCTGAAACAAAAACCACCACAAACATGTGTATAAAATTATCTGAATGTGCCCTGTATTTTCACTTTTGCCATGTATTTCACACCCAGCACAAAGTGCCAAAGGTATGCCAGATGTCTTTGCTTTTTTGTAAATACTGAAAACAGGAATATATTGGATGAATTTTAAAACAGCTGCAGCAGCTGAAGATAATGTTGTCTGCCAACTGTTCATTTCTGTACCTCAAAGAAAGACTGCTCTGCCCACAACTGAATGATGTGCAAGGTGCACGTGCACTTTTCATGCTACCCTGACAAGGATGAACTCTCATAATTTAAGGGCTTTGACTGAAGAGCTCTACTGAATTCTACTGCAGTGCTTTGAGATGTTTAACATCCTCACAGCATCCTGCTCGTGTCCCAGAGATTAGATCTCCACAACAGACATGTACCTCATCCTCAGCTGTTCCAATACAGAGTGCAGTAATCACTGAGATCACCATTAAGCACAGATTTGAGCTAAGAGACTTGACTTTCTCTGGAATGGCTAAGACATGGGCATGGACATCCTTTTGCTGAAGGCTGTTACAGATGCAGGACCAAACAGATGACTGTGCTACCATTTTAAAGAGCTGTGACTATCTTCTAAAGAACTAGATTTGTTGCGGTAATATAGTGACTTTAAAGCATGCAATTCCCAAAACTGCTCAGTTATAGGCAGGGTGGTACACAGGCTGTTACACAGGCTGTAAGATGAACGGGCAGCAAAGTGTTAAACAGCTGTTACAAGGGGACTATGTTGCTCCATCTCAGCCTATGTTTACAGCCTATCACATGAAAAAAGAAAGCACTTCCTTCATTTGCACTATGATGAAAAGTCACTGGAACCAGGTATCACTGGATGATGAAAAAAGGCTGAGTAACTCTCAGGACATTCTTGCCTTGCTTTGGCATTTTAACTGCTGGGCATAGTTGGAGGCATGCTACAAGGAAATGTCCAAGATGGACTTCACATTTGACTACTCTTACACTTTTTCCACCTTAAGTGCCTTCTAAATAACATTATAGATCCTCATTGATAGGATGTTGTGTGTACAACATGATTTGAGGCATGAAAGCCATTATCTCAGGGTCAGGTAAAGTCAAAATAAATCGCAAGGTGATCTGTGTTTCATTGTGGTTCGGTTATAAACATAGGTCCATGGAGCAGCAGCACAACACCCCTTTACGTGATTTTTTTTTTTCCTTTGTACTTTAGTCTGGAAATAACAGAAGAGTTAAGTTTCAAAGCACAAATCCGAACAGTAAAGCTTCACCAGCAGCAGCATTTCTAAATATGAAGCATTAGCAGAGCTGTAAGTGGTAACAGAAGTAGTATTCAGAACACACACACACACACACACACAATACCTCCAGTCCCAGAATCCACTTTTCTACCTCATCACTGTGGAAATGAAAAGCCAGCTACCCTTAAGTGCAATACATCCAGTGCTGGCAATTCAGACTTTCTAAATATTTTGTAATACTAAATGTAAGCAAATTTGATTCAGCCAGATAGATGCTTCTGACTCTCTTCTTTCTACACAAAGGGCAGTCTTAAAATGCCATAAAAGACACAACACATTCTCTAGATAGAGATCACTGTATTAAAAAAGTACAGCATTTCATGTGCTGGTTACTGGTGCAGAAAGTCTGTATCAAGCAAAGTAAAATTTTACCTTTTTTTTGTGACAAGAAATTAGTTTACTTGACAACTTTTTAAGATTTTCTTTCACAGGGAACCCATATAATAGTGAAGCATTTTTGCAGCTCACCACCAGCTGATGGGTGCTATGCCATTTTTCTTTCCCCTCCTGCCTTCCAGAGGAGCACTATTTTATTAATGTTTTTATCTATCCCTTGAAATCAAAAGGAGAGAAACATGACAGGATTCAGTGGCTGCATTCTAGCATTTGCACAAGTGGTACAGCCAAAGCTGAACCAGGGAAATCTGAGCCCTCAGACGCACCAGACAGTGCTCTTCAAATGTCACCTTGGGAGTTCTACACTTTCACCTCCATGAATTGTTCTATTGCTAAAAGGATTATTTGGCTTCCTGACCTTGGTTTTTCCTCTGGGTACATAATAAATTCCAGAAGCTCGTAGAAGAAAATAACGCCTCTTCCAGGACTTTTTCCCATCTTCTTTTAAATAAAGGGCCCCTTCAAGCTCTGGCACAATGACAGATGTCCCACAGAAGCTTTCCTGTGCAACAAGAATAATAATGCACAAAATAAATCCATTAAGCACAATCCTATCAAGATATAGCAGAAAAATGTTCCCTTGAAAAATAAAGACATTTCTTGTGACAGTTAACATATGAACATGGGGTGTGCAGTTACTAGGGAAATGAACACCTTAGACAGGCAAAGGAAACTTTTCCAAGCTAATGCTGGATGCTCACACACTGATAAAGAAGGCTTGCAAAACCTCCTTCCTTTAGGGTCAAGCAAAAGCCTACAAAGGCTTTTAACTAGACATAGATGTGCTCAGTGAAGGCTATAGAACAGAGTGGTTGAGACTGTTGGGTTTTTTCCTCTACTGCAGTGTTTATAGGTTCTGTAGAGAAATACTTTGGTAGGAAGATTCTTTAGAGTCTGTAGAGAAATACTTTGGTAGAGAGATTCTTTAGAGACTGCTCAGAGCTCTAAAAACAGCTCAATCTCTTGTCTTCACTTTGAAATACATGCTAGCATTTAAAACACTGTTTAATCAGATATACTAATTGTTTGCTTTGAGGACTTACTGTTGGGTAATTTTTTATGCAAACACACTTATCACTTAATGTTTTCATTTAGAAATCACCAGGTTTTGCATTGGTTAACACCGGATGCCTTAACAAGATGCAATATTTTGAAATGTGAGTTCTTAGTCGCCTGAGAAAAGCATTTCCTTTGAGCTTTTACCAAACTGCTTGCCTGGAGAACTGTGGCAATTCTTTTCTTTCAAATAACTCTGGATTTTTCTCTTTTGAGCGTATATCTGAAGGAAAACTTGAGCAGGAAAGGCAAGATATTAAACAGACTTTCTGGAAAAGTGAACATGTCTTTTTCTGTTGTAGTATAGCTAGTAAGTTGAGAAGTAAATCCACTTCTAACCTAAAGATGATTGTTTGGTACTGATCAACCTTACTAACAATAAAAGGTCCCAAGGGCTGGTCTAAGAGTGAATAATCTGCATTTTTAATGAGGAGCAGCTGATGCAGAGGAAAGTCGACATATTAAACCCAAGATACAAAGACACAAATGACCACAGAACTTCCTGTTGTTACACTATTACCCACAAAGAACTGCATGGTGTTGCTGCGGAGCAGATGCAAACGGTGGCAGAGTTTTGGTGACATTTGCATCAGCAGCCTAATAATTTTGCTTACCTCCAGCAAAGCCTCTTTGTTTTTATCATTCATTTCTTTGTTTTCTTTCTTCCCTTTGTTCGCCAGGTAGAAATTCTGACAAAGACACAAAAGAAGTTCATGTTCACTATAAAGCTGGCAATACAAGTAACTGGATTGCTACAAACTCACTCAATAGTTACTGAGTCTTTCAATACTGAGCAGGTGCAAGAGGCAGATGCTTATGGACTCTTCTAACAGATAAGTTTAATCACATCTGCTGCTCATGAATTTTAATTCTTTATTCTGAATATAATCCAAAGGTATTACAAGATTGTTTTTGCCCATGTAAATATGGCCTGCAAAAATTTAAACTAGTGGCTTATGTTTTTGGCTGTTTTTCTGGATCAACGTGTTTGGGTTTTAGCATTCCCATTTTCATTGCTTCCTATATTATTACAGGTTGTAGAGAACCTAACATTTGATTGCATGCTGATATACAATGAATACAATGCAGTATCAAAAGGCTAGAAAGCATTTTCCCTACAACCCAATCTAGTAATTTCCATGCTTTATATTTTACACTCTGGATATAACTCAGTTGTCAATTTTTAGTTAAAGTGCTTATACGTCAAAGCCTTTATCCAAAGTTACTACTTTCTACTTTTGTGCCCCTGCTCATGCTCTTCAAAGTGCTTTTATGCAGTAAAGAAACTGTTCAAAAACCTAGAAGAAATCTGAAGAAGTGATCACCAGGTTATCTTGGCACATGTGCTCCAGCCTACTGAAAATAAAGCCTGCACTCCTCTGTTTCTGTGACACTGGAGCTGCCCTCAGAGGACCCAGTGACTGCCTGCCCCACAAACAAGGAACCACAGTGCCTCAAGGACATGCTTACCCATAAAAACAAATCTTCCACTGTTAAACAGCAGTAACCAGTCTGCATCCATCTGCATTGTACAGATGGACAAAGGACAGCACTTAGACTTATGGGCAAATTCTGACAAGTGGGAAGGATGCTAGGACTTGTGGGCTGGAGCATGTGCAGTGGCTTTGCTCCACAGCAAGCAGGGCCAGACGAGCAGAGCTGGCTGCCTGCAGACTGTGAGGCAGTGAAGGAAGCAGGGAGATCAAGGATGGAAGTAGCATTTGGATCCATGGCCTAGAGGCCACAATGGTTACACTCAGAGTTCTTGTGGTTTACAGTTTTTCAATTTATCTTTTTATCTTTGTTTTTTCATGTCTCAAGACTATGAGAAAGTGCCAACATATTTATATGCCTAGAACTCCTCAACACCAACAGAAATGCAAACATTACCAAAATGAAAAATACCAACAATACCAAACAACACTAAAAAGTGAGACGTATAAATAAAGGAACAGGCTGTTGCCATAGTATAAGAAAGAAAGAAACAAACAAGCAGCAAATCTGCCCTGCCAGTAGACCACATTTACAGCAGTGCAATTTATCTGAAGTGAAGCTCTGCTCTTCCACACAACCACATCTTCTTTTCCAAGCAGTGCTGTGAACAGATGTCTGCCAGAATGCAACCCTCAGAGCAGACCATTTTTGGAGGGGCACCAGGAGAGGAAGCAGAAGAGGTCTGGATCTCAAAATCAGTTCTTTAAAAACTGCTTTCTTAGAAGTTCACATTCAGTCATGGGAGCTCAGAAACAGACACCTGCAATGTGGCCTGTGCTGATGCCATGTCTGTGGCATGAGAAATTTCAACATTCAATACAATAGACAGTTATGCTAGGAAATGCACCTGGCTTCAGACTGCCTGGACATAATTTTAGTCCAAAGCTGTAGGTAAGCAAACACTAAGGACCACAGCTTTGCAGTCACATCTAAAAACAATATTCAGAGTGGAAAAACCCCAAAATCAGCTCAAAACAAAACCCACTTCAAAGTTCTGAGCAGCTGCAGCCCAGTAATCTGCACATGTGCAACAGCTCTCCATGACAGGCAGCACTACTGCAGCCCTGGAGCCTCAGAGGGCACTGTTAGGCTGGGTCAGGCCTCTGGACCTTGGGGTGGATTTGGAAAGTACACGGACATGCAAGCTGTAAGGCTTCTCCTCTAGATCATTATAAAGACATAGTACAGCCACTAAAATACACAGTGAAGACTTATCAAGGTAACTACACTTTGTCTCAACAAGGCTTGGCTCATCAACATTACTACTAGTGGGGAGAGCATCCATCTGACTTAGTCAGCCTTCTGTGGATTGATAATAGAAAAACAAAGCTCCTCTGACTACAACTGATTCACATTCAGGCATCTGGCATTTATTTAGCAGAAGCCTAGACCACCCTGTACTGAAATAATCAATCGTAAAGAGAGAAAGTCTGTAAGGATATCCATGCTGGATCTCTAATGCCACAGGTTTTTCATTAGGGAAACAGGGCTCTGTCACCTAACGGAATGTTACACAAATGTACACTGTTGTCTTTCACCTGTCAATACACACTTCATTTATTACTGATTACCTCCTTTATGTCTCTTTCTTGAAATCTGGAAGTACATACATACATATTTGTCAGTGGCTAAAAAACTGGGGAGCAGATTGAACACTGTACTTGTTTCATTACTGTGTGGTCTTCTATATTTGATCAGAAGCATTCATCCTAGAGGGGGCAAACCACACGTGTCCAGAAGAGGTCATTTCAAGTCCAGTAGTCAAAGGGCATGATAAAAGGCAAGCTCCTTCCTGTGTGAGGACACCACTGGGAAATGCATGTTTGGTTTTGGATGTCAGGTCATTAATGGGACAAGATGTAGTTGCAGGGCAACTTTCTACATATATCTACAGATTTGAGAATTAACTATTTCTTACATTCAAAAGATAAGGCTATGCATACAACCTTTCCACTTAGGGACATACCCTTCTCCTTTTGTGTGGAAAGGCAGGTAAAAAAGTAATCAGGGTGTATCTCTCTGCACTGCATAATGCTCAAAAAGTGGAAGACAGAAAGTGTTTTCAGTACTGTCCAAGAACATCTGTGTTGGCATGTAAGCAAAGCAAACCTGTATCATGGTAGAAACGGTATTTAACTACGGCACTATCAAACTTTCTGATTGGTGTTTATGTCTCTAGACTCAAAAAATGAATTTCCTAAATGAAACAGCACCTCTCTCACACCTTTCACTTTTTCATTCACAGACCCATCCAAGTGGGAATGCAGCAGCAACTACTTGTTGCATGTCAAAAACACGTGCCCCAAGATAGCATGCTCCCTCTGCCTCCTCTTACACTTAGGCTGTATTTTTGCTTTCAAGCTCTTGAGACTGATTTTCCAGAAGATCTGAAAAATCCACAACAGCACAGATCAAATAGTGTGCATAAAACAAGGCAGCTGCTTCATACTCACAACTCATACTTGCTTCTTTGAGCAATGGGCTGCCTGCTTATGCTCATCCAACCTGCACCCAATATTTGTGAGCAGGCAAGAACTGGCCAGCTCACATCCCATTTCAGATCATTGCAACTGCTACTCAATGCAGCATGGTTTGTGCAGAAAAAATAAAACAGAACAAGGTCATATCTGCAGCTCATATCATGGTGGGTCCCCTAGGAAACTGCACATTAAAAATGCTAGAAAATGCCTAGAATTGCTCTGAAGATCATAAAATTAAAAAAAAAAAATACCTGAAGCTACAGGCAAGGTTCTTTTGAAACCCCAAAAAGAGAGAGAAATTAAGATTATTAAACAATGGGAGTACAGTGAAAGACACCTCCCTTTTCTCACTTCTGTTTCTTTGTACTTTTGCAGCATACTCAATAAGCAGGTTCCCTGTCACCCTTTTATGTTTCCGTCACTGGGTAACAGTGGAGACAAAAGGAAAACTTTGATTCATAAATGTGGCCAAGCTGGTGGAAAACAAAAGTATCACCTGGTGGACAGTAGGTAAGTATTCAGTACGAAACTTGCTATAGCTGTCTTGTTACAAAAGGTGTTATAAATTCTTACTCCACCTCCTTCTGAATGCTATTGAAAACTCTTACTCTTCAGAAGAAATAAAATATCAATTCAGTGTATGGGTTCTCCACTGGAAGGTGTAGATCTAGCTTTTGGCTTACATATGAGGGAGCAGAAGCATAAAGTACTCACTGTACAGACTTTCAATAATTTTCATAAATACTGTCCAATAATAAGAAAACAAACAAAAGCACATGTAGGTGGCATTGCCTGCACTCTTTGATTTTATCAGAAGAAAACCACAGGAAATGAAGTTCATGCAAACAGAAGTAAAATAGAGTGTTCAAAGAGCATGACCAGTACTTACAGCAAGGAGTTTAGAGTCAGCTACACATTAAAAACAATGATTTTCCTTCATTTTTCTTCCTTTTATAGTACATTTTAGCTGCGAATTAATCTTTGAGTTTTTTGAAAAGAGATGGTGAGACCTGACAACTTTTCCTTTCAAGAGAAAACCAGCATCACTCAACCATATGACAAAGCATCACCTTTCCAATGCTGTAAAGGTTCTCTTTATTTTCCCATGTATGTGTATGTATTTTTGTTTCACTCTTTACTCACAGACTTGTGATGCTCCCTCTCTGCAGATGAGTCACTGATGGCATTCATGGAACAGTCTTTTACTGCAAGTTCCCTACAGGGTCTATTGTATCACAGTGAGCAGAGGGCAAGAGTGTGCCTGTCTTTGGGGCAAGGAGGATGCCTGAGAATTTTATAGAAGCTTTTTTAAAAGGTATTCCAAACTACCAAGTGCTGCATGACAAGAATGACAATCTTCAAAAAAAGCCACAGGCATTAACTGGGCAACATATTGCCAGCATACAGAGAGTAAATCCTGCATTTCAGAACCTCAATTCCCCCTCAGAAAATGAAACACTTTTAGTTAAGTGTTGTTAAATAGGTCTATAACTAGTTCACAGAAAGAATAAACACTGGCACAGGTCACAGACCTTCTTCAGAGGTCCACTTGTTTTAGGAAGGCATCTGCCCATCTTTATAAGATTGTTTTAAAGCACTAATTGTGTCCAATCTTTGTGATGAAAATTTTGTATCAATAATTTGTCTAAGAATAAACTGTATGCACCTAGCCACCATAGGAATTTGCCTCTTTTTTTTCCCCAGTAAAAGATCTACAAGTTAAAAAACAGTAGATCTCCACAAAACCCTTCCAACAGAATGAGCATGAAATAAACACAGAATTGAGCTGCTGCATAGCATTAGCACCACTGGGTGTGTCAAAGAAAGCATTCTGCAATTTGTGTACTCCCAAAATGAGGCAGCCTTGACTGAGCCAGGAGGAGGCTGAACATACTGAGCACACAGTCCCAAAGCACAAGATTTCAGTTTCCCTTTGGTTACACCATAATTTCTGTATGTAGCTGGCCAGGTAATCACACACCCTACCCCCCACAACCCAGCATTTCCACTTGGTTTGCCTTTTCAGGGACCACTGCAGATGTGTATTTTACTACATTTCAGTATTTAGTGTGAGCTTTGTACAGTGCTGATTACTTTCTGCCACGAAGTGCTGATATCACTGTACTATTTTCCCTATTCACAATGTTTAAGTTTACCACGCCTGACAGATGGTCAGACTTTATTACTGACAAAATATTTCAACAGTGTGATAGCCACAACTGATCCAGTTTGCTTAGACTGTTCATTTTAGAGCTTATTACGGAAGGGCTAAAGCTCAATGACTGCAGACTTGTCTGGAACCAGCTGAGACATGAGGACAGACCTACACTTTTGTTTGGTTCTGGTTTAGGTCATGTTTATTTTTAAATTTAGTTGCAACCAAAATGCAATATTCATCAGAACAGAATATGCATCAAAGTTTTACTTCCTGTTTGAGGTTCAGAGCCTTGCTCTAAACCACATACCAAAATAACACTACAGTGTATGAAACAAAGGTGGAGTTAAGCCTCTGCTGCTGGGTAGGTTTATGTGCTCTAGAAAGGAGGACACTTTGAGCCACCATATTGTATTTCCAAACTTGGCTTTGCTATTTCATATTAAAAATCAACATTAATCCATGTGCACTGCAGGATAAGCTTTCTTTCCCTGACTGTGGATACTTATATCAATGAAGGAAACTTATTTTCTGTAGGTTTTATTTGAAACAGAGCCTCGTTCTATAAAAAAAAAAAAAACAATTTTCTAATGAGCAGCTTGGTGAGATTTGCTGCCAAATTACATATTTGACTCATTTTTTTTTTGGCAATGCTGAATTGCTCATTTTTCTCTTGCTGCCCTTAGGAACAAACCAGATGCTCAATGAGCTAACAGTCAGCTGACATGGGGAAAAGATCCTGTGCCCCAGAATCCAGCAACTGTATGTTCCAGGATGTTTGAAATACAGCTTTGACCATATAACACAAGAAATACAACAATTTGTGTATACACCTATCTGAATAATTTGATGCAATTCAGTGTGCAGACCCTCCTTTACAAAGTTAATGTGCACAAGTTACTGATAACCCAATTCTTCTCAGCACAAACAAAATCCAGTAAATTCTCTGCAGCATTCAGTGTACCCTTTATGAAGTTTCATGGACAAGTGGCAAAAACCTTCAGAGAAATGCTGATGTTCATCAGCAGAAATAGTGGGGAAGCTGTAGTAATAACAAAGGGCAGGTTTTTACAGCTGTGCCATCTCACACAGTTCTAAGAACTGAACCCAAGCAGTGGCCGGTACTGGAGGTGAACTACATGCTTCAGTTTTTACCTCTGCAGACAGGACTCTAAAACAGTATCAGAAAAAAAGCAGAAAACTATAATTTTCAAATCCTTGCATTCAAAATCCTGGTGGGTTTTTGGGTTGAAAATATAACTTTTGCTTTCTTTGAACTGACAGAGCTGAAAGAAATTATTAATGTAAAAGGCAGCATGCAGACTAAACGACCTTAGTTTAGACTCTTACCCAAACAGCACGTTAGCTTACCTGGGGATTTTTAAATAAAGCATATTTTTGACTTTTTTCCAAAAACAGGACCTTATTCTCAGTGTCTCGAGTCCAGTCTGATAACACTTCAACAACATTTTCATGGTCTTCAAAAAACCTTTCTGGAGAGACAGAGAAGATAATGTAAGACATTCAAAGTGTTTCTGCCCTGTCCTGAGGCTGCAGAAATTCCTGTGTAAGAATGTAATCATTATCTGATTCCCTCACTCAGGGCTGGACAATCCAGCATCTTTTCCACTGCACAGACGGCTGCAGAACCCATCACACACCACACGAAACTGTGTCCCATAGAAGGGCAAAGCAGCTGCAGAAGACACTTTATGTAGCTGTGCATGCTCCTGGATTCCTCCTGAACCTCTGTACTGCTGCCTGAAGACTGCAAAGGATGGAAGCAGCAACCCACCAGGCGTAGACAGTTACACCCATGTATTTCATGGCTTTCTGCTTTTGATTGATTTTGGTTTTTTTAAGTTTTGCAGTACTGCAGACAGGGGGGTGAAAGAAGGGATATATATAAACCTCAGCTAATTAATTAAAAAAAAAAAGACTGAATTTGTCTTTTTACTTCTTTTACAATGAAGATTTGCTTTTTGTCAGCAGGATGAATTTTATGCATTGAAAATAAAATGTTTGGTTTTAAGCAACTATATTTAAAATCACAAATAGCAAAGTAGAAAAAAATACAAAGACAGAACTGATATCAAGCTATACTGGTTCACCCAGCATCTCTGTAGTTAACCTTACCGGAGATGTGAGAATCCTAATGTCAGCTCTGTCCCCTCCTGATCTGCTCTGAGCCCCACTCCTCCACCCAGGAAAGCCACACACAGGGTGTGATGAGATTAGATAACTCTGAAACCCCAGGATGATTTATGTAAGATTGCTCAATATAAAACCCTTTTTAAAGGAAAAGAAAGTCAGCATAACTTGACAGGTCATTTTGGAGTGTCCCAACCTGCACTTTTCTACAATTTCAGTACTGGGATAGGGAATTCACCCAGCTCCAGCTTTCAGTAGAATTTTGGCAGTTTCCTGGGAACAGCCATACTCCCATTCCTGTGGTCTCTGGTGATCACATCTTCCAATGGCCTAGACTGGCCCAGAATCAGAGGAAGTAACAAAGCATGCATTTTGTAGGCTTTCTTTAACACTTGTTACTTTTGACATGGGTTTAGTACATGCTATCCAACCCATATCTTGTGAATTAATTAAATTCACAGAATGACATTAGCTTCAAGACCCATTCACATGTACCCAGTAACTTGTAACACCAACAACATAACATTCCTCATTTAGCAACTGGTACTTCTGCAATGCACTGGAAATAGAAAGCACTATATAAAATCCCATACAGTTCAAGACAGGCATGAAAGAATTCTCAGCCAGCAACATTAATTTTTGCCACATATATTTTTGTTTCTTCACTTGCTGCATCAGGTTTTTCCTGTATGAAAAACGTGATTTTATTATCCTCAGGAGGGTCTTTCTAATAATTAATTTACCTAAAAAAAGTCATATCTGGATGCCTATTATAAGACTATAATGGTCTTTATTGCAAAATAGATGCTGGTATGTACAGCCCAGTGTTACATCACCATGTCACTACTGAGATTATTTGTGATATTAAACACGTATTTAGTTTTAAAGTGTTGTTTATTTTATTTACAATTATAGTCTTTCAAAATAAACACTTATGTAAGACAACCTGTCAAGGATCTTGTGATATAAAAGTAGCTTGGACCTTCAATTCAGCAAGAATTATTTGCTGCTCAGATTTGCTTCTTAAAGTAAACACAATTTTATTCTCTTTAATACTAATGTGGAAAGCAGACAGAAAGATGAAGTGCAGAAAAGTTCTGTCTTTGTGCTGATAGTAATAAAGCTATCTAGAGCAGCCAAGAAGAATACTGACAAAAATAAAGAATGGCTCACATTGTTCTGATTTTGAACAAAATTAACTGCATCTTGCTGTGCATTGGAAGCAGAAGAAAGAACAAGTACCACTCCATTCATATTGAAACTGCCTTCTGCAAACAAAAAGGCTCCATCCTCAGCAGATCTGGACCTGGTAATAGATCACTACATCAGGAGTTAATAGATTTTTCCTTTTTTCTTGAACCAGATACAAGTTTACTTCCTTCCGTATTTTTGTTCTGTCCTGGCTTTATTAATAATTTTTATTCATTATGAAAGTAATTCCTTACTATACCAATACCCTAACACCAACCAAAATCACCTAGCATTAGCTGGGACTAAAGTAGCACAACTAATTTTCACAAAAAAATTCCAACCATTTACCCCTATGTTTGTAGCAAACAATCTCCTTGATACCTTCAGTTTTAACTGCATTATGGGAAATTCAAATATCTATCCAGATTATGAAGAAACACAAGTACATTCTTTTTAATGACTATGGAGATTCAGCAACCATATGTTTATTGCTATGTCGTCCTAATACTCAGACATGTTTGTCCAAGTCACACTGGACAAAAAGGAAGCAAATTTCTAAGACGGGAAAACACTCCAAAATTATTCAGTGACCTTTTTCAGATTTCTAGGGTCAAATGACATTTCCAGTCTTTTCTCAGTTAAGATAAGCAAGTTCAAAAGAATGCAGCACCATTATCTTAATCAAGTAGCAAGAACAGATTGGCAGTAAATTTCTGTATCACTCTTACAAGAAGATGAGCATCTCCTTGCTCATGACCAGTTGGGCTTTTTTCCAGTTATTTTAAAATTTCTATCATTTAATTTAGCAGAATAACTACACCTTGGACTCTTTTAAAGTTGATAATTGATATTGATCTTTGACTTTCTTTGAGAATTTTCCTATCTCTGCTGGGTGACTGTAAACAGAATGTTAAAGGCTGTTTGACAATTTCCCATTTCTCTAGGTCAAATGCGACTCTGAAAGAAAGTTATGGCAATTTTACTTCTCCTTTTGATGTCAATACCTTTTCAGTCTGGCAGATAAAAAAATTCTGAAATATTTCACAATTAGAGAATACTGTGTTCTTAATGAAAGAAACTTTGAAGCCTTTTTCAAACAAGACTTATTATGTTGCACAGAACAATTTCTAAGTTTTGCACAGCTGTTTCCTAGGACCTGGAGGCCAGGTTAATTACTCCAGAAGTCATAACTCACCATCATAAGAGCTGCAGCCCCATCACAGAGCAGTGCCCTGTACACAGCTACACTTAAAAAAAACAATGACCACAAATGAAGAGCATTAGAAATGACTGAAACACTTCTCACTCTTGTTAAATGACATTTGTTCAGCCAGTATGTAATACATGGCTGCTGACAGCACTCCAGCACTGCATCCTCTCTTCAAAAAGTGGATTTGAGTACTGCTGTCTTTGGGTTTGTCATCACCTTGAAATTCACATGGCTCCTTCATTTTGTGTAAAATAAAATAATGGAAGTGGTGAAAAGCAAGGAGCCTTCTGCAGGTCCCAGCACAGCTGGCAGGACTCATTTCTACAGCACAAACACACCAAACAGTCCTGCAGCATCCCTCAGCTTAGAGTCTGTGATGTTCCAACACCAGGGGACACATGGGCAGGAGAAAAGTTACTATCTGCTCAAGATTACCAACACTTACCTGATCTTTCAGGATTACCAGCCCTCCATCTATTTGCTGTGTGACTACAGCACTTACCAATCTGCAGCTCAGGGTACATCTCATACAGACACCAGTCGACGTTGCAGTCACAATGGGTTTTCTCAAAGAGATTGTCCAAAACATCCCGCGCCACCTGGCGCTCATCCACCATCAGAGACTTGGTGCTGTTATCGTTCATGTGCACCTTGATAACAAGCTGAGAACAAAGTCACAGAACAGTCAGTTAATTTCAGAAGCAACAAAAGGACTAGTCTGAATCTGCTAACACAGATAAGACAGATAAAGGCTGAAGGTTATTACTGATTCAAAGGCATCCTGTCCCACAGCAAGCTGAGAGAATAAAATAGCTCCGAAATTTTCACATTATAATTTTCACCAAAATAAAGATCTTTTCTCTGAAAATAAAATTAAGCCTTGTCCTATGCATGACTTCAGGAAAGGTGAAATTGCTATGAAGAAAAAGCAGAAGTTAATCTCTTCTCTAAATCTACTAGATGTGCAATTAAGGAAAATGCTTGATAGGGAAACCAAGTGCAAAAGGACAGAGCGTCCTTAATGCAAGCTACAAATGTGGAAAATTTAGTTTTAAATAGAAAAAGAATGGAAGAATCTTGCCATGCCAACAAAATAATCTGAAATTGGATTGTACTAAGATGGGCCATAGTCCAACTGTCATCAATAAGAAAACAGATGAGTTCACAGAATATGCTGAGTTGGAAGCGACCCATCAGGATCATTGAGTCCATCTCCTGGTCCTGCACAGGACAAGCCCAAGAGCATTGCTCCATGTGCCCAAGAGCATTGTTCAAATGTTTCTTGAACTCTGCCAGGCTTGGTGCTGCAAACACTTTTCTGGCGGGCCTGTTCCAGGCCATTCTCTTGGCTTCTGTCGCTGGCCACCACAGAGAAAAAATCCCCTCCTCTTCCCCTTATGAGTTACTAACTGACCAAATTAACCTAATACACTCATTACTTCTTTATATGGTGAAGTATTTGTTAAACAAGAAACACAGTGAACTTTCTTCAGAGAGGAACAATGCAAGAAAATGCTGAAGTACCTAAAATGTGATAAAGAACTGGAAGTACCTTACAAGAAAGTACTTAAAATGCTCCATTAGTACTGAAAACAGTAGAATAATTCTCTACAAGGTCTGCACATTGCTGGTGAGTTGGGGGGACTTTCCATATTTTTCTTTAAATAGCTCTTTATTTTAAAATGTGTGCATAAGAAGCTTTTAAGTTCTGTAGAGACAATCTGTGTAAAAGGTCAGGTAGAAGCAGAGTTATGATCCCCAAGAGAAAATCTACACTGTCTCTGAAAAGCAAAAACAAATGTAACAAAAGCCATGAACTTGTTTTGATTCCAATTCTTGTAAGAAGAATCTTCTCTAAAATAAGCATCTGAGCTATAGTGCAGTACAGAAAAAGAAGTGTTGTACATGCATAATCTAACACATTTAAGGCAAAAGGGGACTTCTGTCTGGTTCTAACTGACTGCTCAGAAACATGCCTGCAGCTTCCATCTTCACAGAATCACAAAACAGCTGAGACTGGAAGGCTCCTCGGGTGATCATCCAGTCCAGTTGCCCGGGCAAGCAGGGCCACCTAGAGGCCCATGGCAGGACCCTGTCTAGATGGTTTGTTACCATCTCCAGGAAGGGGGACTCCACAACCTGCCAGGGCAACCCCTGCCAGGCTCATCCACCCTCAGAGTGAAGAAGTGTTTCCTCGTGTTCAGAGCCTCCTGTGTTTCAGTTTGTGTCCATTGCCTGGTCCCATCACTGGGCAGCTCTGAAGAGAGCCCAGCTCCATTCTCTTTCCACCCTCTCTTGAGGTTTTTCTAGAGACAGACAAGCACCACACAGACCTCTCTCTTCCCTAGGCAATCTCAGCCTCTCCTCACAGGAGATACTCCTGATCATCTTCACAATACTTTCTGATCATCTTCCATTGGGATGGAACCCTCCTGAGTTTGAAGGAGGTGATGTTTAAATATTAACCAGATTTCTTGATCCCTTCTTCCCATCAGGAAGTTCCACATGGGACTCTTGGAAGATCTTTGAAGAAGCCAAAGTCTGCTCTCCTGAAGTCCAAGGCTGTGAGCTTGCATTTCACCATCATCCCTGCCCTCTGCTTTTAGTACAAGAGAGAAAACCAGTTTTCTTGACAATATTTAGTCAATTTAGAATTCAAGAATGACACAGTAATTTCATTATAGTGACACAGTCACTATAGTTACTTCTATCATATGGCTCCAAATATTCAGAGGGAGGTGGGGGGGAAGTTGGGAAAGAAAAAGTCTCCCAAAAGAGAATTGCTAACACTGCAAGGAAAAGAGGGTGCCCAGTGAGCAGTCATAACTTTAGTTACAGAGCTTTACAAAGTCAGCATCGGTGAAATCCTCCCAAGACATTCTCTCAGAAGGAGCATTTATAGATGAACATAAAGTGTTCAGTGGGAACCATCTCAAGATTGGACATTCCCAAATTTATTGGAAACGTCCATTCTTCCTGGAAGCTCTGCAGGCTCCAACACTTTCCATCTTCTTTGAGCAAGACTGAAAGGTTATGACTGTTTTTAGTTCACATCCATTATTCAGAGTTACTGAACACCTGCAGCTTCGAATTTGTTGGTCTAAAATAATTTCTATTATACTTATACATTACTACAACTGCTGTGAAAAGATTTAGCAATAAGACCCTCATTAATTTAATAGGGATTAGCTAAATCCACATCCACTATGAAGAAAAGTTTAATACTCCTGGAATCAGCACAGCATAAGTAAGCAACATTTTCATGTATACTCTACTTTCTCTAAAGCAACTTATCAGCCCAGTGGGTTTTGTCCGAACACTGAAAAAAAGAAAAAAAGGCAGCACTTTCCAAGTCCTCTAAAAAATAAATCCATTGGAGGTAGCATTCACCCAGGGACTTCTCTTGATGTGGATGACAAGAACTTCACAGAGTATCTTTACAGATAAAATAAGGAAAAGCCTAGTCATTTTAGTAAGAAACTTATTATTAAGAAGAATGTTAACAGATATTTAGGTGGTAGCTCTAATGGTAGCATTTACTCTTTTATGGCTCACCTTTTTAACTTTGGCTTCCTTCAGTTTCTCCAATGCAAGTTTAATCTTTTCAGCTTTAGCCTTTGCCTCTAGTTCTTCCTGAAAAGACACAAGATATTTAGTACATTTTTAAGTAATCTCAGCAATTTACATTTACTTGAAAAGGGTTGTTTCTTGATACTTATATCCTGAAGATAAAGCTTCTCACAGCAAACTTCATACATACACACAGATAACTTCCAGCCTTCCTTGACCTAATATCCTTCAGCCAAAAGCTTTGATTTGCAAGTCCAGTGCCCCCTGCTGTTGCTCAGCCAAATAGTTCTTACATGATCTGTTCCTCAAATGCTACAAGAATGCCTGAAAACTGGACTCTTCCATGTTTCTGTACATACAGCTGGTACAAAAGAGAAGGTGAAGGAAGATCCAGCCTCAGTGAAATAGCATTGTGGATGCAGCTGCTTGGAAGGAAACTCGCTTCTCATTAGGGTAAGAGAACTAGAATTTGTAGGATTTTACTGAAATTTTGGCTTGCAATTACACCACTTATAATTTTATACTCTGTGTTCAATACATTAATTTACTTGAATGTTTTGACTTGCCACATATGATCTGTTACTGCACAGATACTTACTGAGAGGAACACCTCCATTAGTTAGCTTTTATTCTATGAATGGACCTATTCATATTAACACAGACACAGTTAGAGCACACAAGTTCATTCCACAGTAAGAATCCCAAAAATCTCAGTATCACCCAGCTCTTCTTTTACCAAACAGCTCTATCAATATCATGCCTCTCTCTTAATATCAATGATATCTGTGATCCAAGAAGACTCTGGATCCCCAGGTGCTAGGAATTTTAGCTACATGTACCAAACATAGTACAAGGTGCCTGGTGTTGCCTCTGTGACTGCTGTACAGATTGGCACTGCTCCTTTATGCCATCTCTCTTCCAGAACTCTATTCCAGTCGCATTTGGAGTTGGAAAAGCACATTTTGGACAGCAAGTGACTGTGGATCCTGGGGCTGCCTTGGACTCCTCCAGTACTACTGGAGGGTTCCACTTCTTTCCAAATTAACATCCCTGTTGCCTCTACTGAAGACTGTCTTGTATTTGCTGTTTTGCCTCTCTGCTGATTTTTGCTGTCCCTGTTGCTCTCTTACTTTCACAGCTTCCTTTGTTTAAAAGGGGTAGGATTTTGTGCTACGCTACTCACAGACAACCAACTTACAGTCAAGGACTCTGGGAGAAAGTTCCTGTTCTGCTTCCACACAAGATTTCTTTACCTTCAGCCTCCATTTGCTACCCTAAAGTATTAATTTTTAGTGGTCTTCACACCAAGAGAACTGACTGCAACTCACAGAAGATGCACTTGCAGGAAAGTAAGCCTAACTAAGCATTGTCATCACTTCCCTGTTACTGAGATATCATACAACCATAGCAAAGAAAGAGAAAGAAAGTTATCTTATTTATCCCAAGTTGTGGGAGATGTTCAACAGCAGCTAAAGTACTCCTGACTGACATCCCTCCTGCTGAACTAAACATCTTTTGTTTTATCACTGGTTCAAGCATGTTTCCTGTTATCAAATTCTCCACTATAAATACCATGCAATCAGTTAAAAATATATCTTTTTTCTCTCTGCAGGTGTGGAAATTTGCATTGCTATAGCTCAGCAGTGCTTAACTTAGAGAATCCAAAAAAAGCCTCTGCAGTTGAACACAAGCAGTTGCACAAAGGTGGCTGCTGCAGTCAGGCTGATGGTTGTAGAGAGGGAAAAGCACACAGCCTCTCACGCTGTGGCCCTCCCCTTACCACCTCTATGCAGCAAGCAGGAAAAGCATCTTAACCAAAGTTGTTGAGTGTGGTGTGGGTGGGCTTTTTGATGAGAATTTTAGGCAGGTATAATTCAGGCTTCATCTGCATGTGGCCTGTGTTGAACAGAGTTCTCACACTGTATAAATCTGTGCAACAGAGCTCTCACCTGACAGCCTTCATAGTTTCATAAGCTTTGACTTAATGCAGAAAAAGGAAATAAGCTGTTTCCTAATATGCAAAATTTTAGCAGTGCTAGAGAAATGTTTTGACAAGCTACAGGATTTATTTTCCCACTACAGGATCATCACCACGTTTTCTGGATCTTTAAACAGAAGCACATAAAGTCATCATGTCAATAGCAAATGATGAAGCCTTATTTAGCTTAAGGGCAGTTTTAAAAACAAATGTCAGGGTTGATGGAAACTTATGAGACAGCTCTATGCTTCCCTGGAAGAAAGGCTGTACTTCTTTATTTTGGCACACGTAAAGGTTAGAAAATAGGGTCTTAACATCATGGCTGCATTGGAAACTACTAACACTGCTCTTATTTGACTGTAGATAACCAGAAGTGTTAAACACAACTTCAGCCATGATTGGCTCAAGAATCACTTATCAAGAATCTGGCTAACAGGAACGTGGTTTTTGATGACAAAAAATACATTCCACTTACAGCTGAATTTCATTCTACTGAGCAGAAATGTCATGTCAAAGCAAATACTCATCAAGACTGAATATTAATTTGAAATTGATTCTTTCCATATAAATTTAAAATTATTATTACCTCCATCATTCATACTGCAACCTGTGTAATAGCCCTGTGGGCAATTTTGCGGACAGTAAGCCACAGTAGGTATGCCATTAGTATTTGAGTACAACCTGTATGACAAAATGAGGCAAAGGCTGCAAGAAAAAAGCCAAACCAATGGCTTAATGAGGAAATAAAGTATTGCCACTATATTCCTTAGAAATGCTTCTTCTACAACCTGTTCCTATCCTTCTCTGACACTCCCCAAATCTGGAAAGACACCAGAATATCATTAGAGATCAGTCTCAGAGGAATAGTTCAACTGAGGGAGAAGCGATTTTTGGCTACATTTTTTTCATATAGAATTCCAGTTGTGTTTAGCAAGTATATTCTCTCTCCACTCTAAAATCTTGTTTGATCTTCAGGTAATGTACAATGTCAGTTCATAAAGAATTAGCTCAGTACAACACTCAATGGAAATAAATTCATCATGGGTGATTGCAGTGAGCTTTAGATCCCAACATCAATAAAAATGCAGCCTGGAAGAGAGGTCTGAGGGTCCATAGTCAGGCTCCTGCCCAAAGCAGGATGGCCACCAACATTAGATCAGGTCAGTCATGATTTTGCATAGCAAAGCTTGGAAAACCATCAAAGAAAGGGAATCTGGAATCTCTCTTGGTCACCTGTTCCAGTGCTACACCACCATCTGAAGTGGAAGACATTTTCCTAATGTCCTCTCTGAAACTACAAAGCTGCAAGATGTAGCTGTTGCCACTTCCACGTTAGTGACCTTCACCACCATGGAAGAATTTGGCTCCACCAGCTTTGCATCTATCCTTCAGGTATGTTTAGGCTGTCATTAGATCACTCCCCAGCCTCCTCTGTCAGACAGGACAGGCACACTCCCTCCCTCCCTGTCCTTGCTGGCCCCTGATCACTGCATGCCTCTGGCCATTCCATCAGCTCTCTGATGGACACTATCCAGTACCTCCACATCCAGAACAGAGTGCAGCATTCCAGCAGTGGGACCACCAGTGCCAAGAGAAAGGAACAATAACTCCTTAGCTTGCTGGCCATACTCATCCCAATGGAAGCCAGTTTCCTGTACTGAGATGATCTTTCACTCAAGGTTCTTATTCCCTGTGGTATCCAGCAGGATCTCCTTTTCAGTAGGGCTGCTGCTCAGCCTGTCCTTTCTAAACTAACTAAACTGGTTAGCACACCCCAGGTGCAGGACCTTGTACCTTGCTGGGTTTCTGAGAGTTTTGCTGGCCTAGTCCTCATGTTTTAAGTCCCCCTGTGTTGAAGGTCTGCCAGTGATCTTGACAGTCAGTGCCCTTAATTAAAAGCATCTTCAGCACAGCTGCAGGTGGGTTTTTATGTCATCACTCAGGTCACGGACGAAAATGCTAAACAATATAAATCCCAGTGCTGATCCCACTTGCTACTAGACAGCAAATCATTGACTAGCTCTTGAGTCTGGCCAGTCTCAGCCCACCTAACTAGCTACCCTTCCAGACCATATTTGTCAGCTGACAAACCAGACTACTTGAAGTTTGGTACTTCCTTAAAGTCTGAGTCTAAATGAAGATGGGGAAATTTTTTAAGGAAATGGATAGAACTCATCTCTTCTATATCAGTCCTACTAGTTACATAAATTACTTCAGGTTTTGAAGCTGTTTAGCTGGTATTTTGCAAATGTTGAAATTCCTTTAAGACAGGAAGTGAACTATTATCTTTGAGATGAAGAAAAATGGCAAAGCTTCTCCCATATGTTTATGAGTTTCATTCTTCAAACAGTATTGAAAGGTCCTATGCATGAAATGAAGCTTTATCTAGTGAATCACTTTTTATGTCATCAGACATATCCAATTTTCCTATCCAATTTTCTGTTCCTTTTGCTGAATATGTCTGCTGTATAATTCCAAACACAGGGGCATCAGTGGTGTTAAGGTGATTCATATTCAGTTCACGTGGGCTTTTAAACAGCAATGAATTGACCACGGTTTTAAGCAAAACTGACTGACACATTTCATGTTCCCTAAAATACTTCCATTCCCTAAATGTAAACATCTTCTCTCAATCATAATTACTGTGAACATGAATACTGAAAGAGATATATTTGTGTATTTCATGATTTCAGATTCATTTTTTGGGCGGCTGCATCAGTCTTTTAATGCCTTCTCTTCTCACAGGGCTGTGACAGGGCAGAATTCTCACATTATCTACCTCCCTCAACCTCAAAAAAATACTATAAATATCACATTTTATTTCCGTTGTTAAAACAGCTCTGCAAGAAACATCACATGGAGGAGGTTGTGGTAAGTCTGAAATTTTAGATACAGGTAAGCCAGTTGCTCATAAATAGTTATAAATAGTTACCTACTAATAACTTTGGCACTTCCTAGGAGCATTTGTCCCCTACTGCAGATAGTCTTCATTACTCCCTTTCAAAGGCAAGACCAAGAAGAACAGTAATTCCATGTTAGGACCAGGAGAGGTACTTCTTGTGCTTGTCCCTGGACCTTGTCACCTAGCAAATGTTGAGTTTTCCACAAATTAACTACTTTTCTTATTGCAAGAAATCACTTAGGCCAGGGATGTAGCTGAGAAACATCCACAGAATTTTCTCATCAGTACAAATAGCACAGACTGCAATGAACACACATAATGACATCTTCACAAAGTGGAGATGTCACATTGGCCACGCTTTGCACTGATGCCAAAACCAAGCTCTCTATAAGAAGATCAGTGCTTCTTAAAAGAATTCAGTGATAAATTTTCTGTTACAATAAACCATTTGCAATGATTATGCCTGTATTGGGCTATCAAAATGATGATTAGAAAGATGAAGGAATGGGCAATAGGTCAAGGAACAGGCAGAAACTGCTGAGGCCACAACAGCAGAAATTTCACTCCAGAGTTCATGCACATTTCATCATTGCAGAACTTTCCCAAGATGCATCTACCTGGGAGATCCACCAGAGTTCCAGTGCCAAATACCACTGCAAAATGACAAGAACTAGTGAAGGTTTAAAATAAGGTTTGACCCAGACTTACCTGAGTAAGTGGCTCAGGAGGAGGTGGTGGTGGTGGTGGTGGAAGTTCTGACTCAGGGTCTGGAGGTGGAGGTGGAGGGGGCAAATCATCCCAGGACTGTCCAGTAATGGTGACATAGGGGCTTACTTTAGAATAAATGTCATTATTCAAGCCTGTTGAAGGCTGAGTGACTGTACTTTGCTGGTTGCAAGGAGATGTTTTCTGGGCTTGTAAAGTTTTCTGTTCAACATCATTAAGGTCTGCTACAAGGTCAGCCATTAAAGCATCCAGGTCTTTATCCTCTAGGGCATTTAGCGATTCTGTAAAGAAAGCCACAAAACGTGTCAGAGAGTGAGGGCAATGCAAAGCACTGTTTCCAGTTCAGCAGAGATTAAATTGCAGAAGGCATGGTTACAGGGTTATGGGAAAGGAAACAACATTTTACATGGGTTCAAGAAACAAATGTGCTTTTGAATCAGCCATTAATCTGGTCATACTGAAGTTCAGAGTACAAGGAACTCTACGAACACAAATTAACAGAACAGGAAGCTTCAGTTCCAGTGGTCATACTGAAGTTCAGAGTACAAGGAACTCTACGAACACAAACTAAACAGGACAGGAAGCTTCAGTTCCAGTGATACAGTCTCAGGCCCTTATGATGTTACAAACATGGCCCTGATCCAGCAAGGTTACTGGGTACATGCTTAGTGATATGAATGCAAGAAATTCCATGAGCTCCCTTAGGCTGTAAGCATATCTCAGGCCCTTATGATGTTACAAACATGGCCCTGGTCCAGCAAGGTTACTGGGTACATACTTAGTGAGATGAATGCAAGAAATTCCATGAGCTCCCCTTAGGCTGTAAGTACAAACATAAATGCTTAGCAAGTTCTGGGACAGCACACAACAAACCATATAACTGAGGCCTAGGTCAAGAATACCTCCATATATTGTCACTATTCTACAACTCTAAAATTAAAATGAAGCAGAATCCAAGAATATTAAGAGACAAGAAACTGCATGGTATCATCTGTAGCACAGCAGTAATTGTGTGATCTGTGACACACCGCATGGGTGGTACATCACACATGCTTCTGAAGCTCCTTTAAGCAAGGAACAAACAAAAAGTCTCTGTTAAAAGAGTCTTATAAACCAGCTAGAAACATTGAAACTTTTTCTTTCTGGTTTCTACCCTGACAGAGTAGAAGATAAAATCCTACACCAGAACTTCACAAGTAATTTGTGCTTGTTTGAACTAGCCATGGTGTAAAGATATACTGTGGAGTAAAACCCTGTAGGATGGCTTAGCTTTCTAGAAGCTGAGGCTCCTCTAAGTAAGGAACAAACAAAAAAATCTTGGTTAAAGAGTCTTACAAACCGGCTAGAAACATTGTAACTTTTTCTTTCTGATTTCTACTCTGAGAGAGTAGAAGATAAAATCCTACACCAGAACTTTACAAGTAATTTGTGCTTGTTTGAACTAACCATGGTGTAAAAATACACTGTGGACTAAAACCCTGTAGGATGGTTTAGCTTTCTAGAACAGAAGGGTTCTTTAAGATTGAACAGAGTCAGTGATTTACATCTCTTAAAAGAGTCCAGTTAAGAAATAAATAAACAAATAACTGGGAAAACCTTTAAGTGAGATTTTGAGAGGGATGGATAGCACTGAATTAGATACTCAAAAATGCTAATATAGTCCAACAAAGAATAGTAGTAATTCATGAGACTAAGTGTGAACATGTCACAAGGCCATCTCAGTTTACTCTGCTCTCCCTGTTATGTTAATATAGTATTTAATAAGTTTTTCTTTACGGTGGGAAAGTTGCCTTATGATCCTCTCCATTAACACAGTTCCACCCATTTTGCTGATAGAGTCTTTAGGAAGCCCAACAGGGAACTGATCCTGGGACAAACCCAGAGGTTAACACCAACACAGGGTAATGCACACAGCCAGCTCTCAGTCAAATACCCTAAAAAACCCCCCAAAAACCCCAAAACGCAATCACAACCAAAATCAAAGGAAGGGTTTTTACTTAAAACTCAGACAAATCCCCTCATTTGGTTTGCCATACAGCCTCAGCAAGCAGCTGTGCATGCAAAAGTGACAGTGCAAACCAAAATGAGAATAAACACTGAAAAGTGGAAGCAGCTGAAGCTGACACTTCCACTGGACAGAAATGCTTGCGCAGCTCTGACATCACACCAAGGAACTCTGTCTTTCACCAGGCTAAATCCTTACATTAAAAAGGTTACATTTCAGAAAGTTATTTGGGAGACTTCTCCAGTTTGTTTTCCTCTACACTCAGACATTTTTAAAAGTCTGACTTCTAGCTAAACTGAGTAATGCCCTCCCAAAATGGTTCCCTTTAAAGTTTCCTAAATTGAGATACAAAAATATACCTCCCCCTCCAGCAAACAGGGTTCTTTTGTTTGGTATTGGCTTTTTAACCAAGGGTATGTAAAGATTTTCTTCTCATTTGTTGCTGTGAGGTATTTTAAGCAATCATAAATGGCATGAAAGAGTCCATTCAGCTACTTACCATTTAAATCTTTAAAACCAACTGTAAAGCTCAATTCATTGTTGGACACTTTGGGGCATGGAGGTGGTACAGTCTCCACTCCTAAACTCTGTTAAGGTAGAAGCAAAAGAAGTATCTGTTGATATAATTACTATTACATACATTAACATTTGAAAATCAATTAGCTGAATTTACCTAATGAAATAAATTCTTCTTCAAGAAGAGAATGACACGCACTGCTCTCTGAGATTATGTTGGACTGGAAGACTAACTAGGGCCAGGACAAGGGTTCAAGCACTGTCTCACAATCATGGCAAGGGTTTTGCATGTTCTCAGTCCAGTGTTGATGGCAGCAACTCCTGTCAGCCCACACCTGGGCTTGGTGTGGGGAACTGGAGAGAACTGCACTGTTTCTAATCGAGACAGTGGGCAAAGCCAGACTGATTTTCAGCTTCCTTGGGTATTTTGAAGAGGGATGTGGAAAGAGTTTAGCTGTGTACACACTTAAGCCACAGTGTCATTTTCTTTCCAGAGTGCTTTGTTTATCAATATAAATGAAACCTAGCTGTCACTTTCTGCTATTTCTTGAAAAAAAAAACAAAACAAAACAAAACAAAAAACCAAACCCAAATACAACAAACAAAACCCCATGCTATTGGAATGTAAACTGCAAACCTGTGTAAATAGAGAATTCCTAATTTGCAGCAGAAAAGGCCAATTATGAATTTTCACTTTTTTCCAGCCCTGTTATGCCATCTAGAGGTATCTCTGTGTCTTCTATCATTTACACTTACTTTAGGAACTGATAGACTGGTGAAAATGTCTGAAAAACTATCTACAGTCTTGTTTTGAAAGTTAAGAGTCTGAGGGAATGAACAGATCCAGTTCAGTTAACTGAAAGTCTTCAGGTTTTCAGACACCCCTGCCTCCTTCTCCCACACCATGCTGTGAGATGTGATGTCAGAACTTTAGAGAGGAGGAGAAGCCTGTCTCAATTTCAGGGACACTCCGTTCCACCCAGTACTGCACTGGGGAGCACAGAGACAAGAGACTCACTCTCTTACACTCTTTGCACCACTGCACTTGTAACACTGCTGTGTCCAGGCTGAGGAGGTAAAATTTATCACAAGCAGACTTTTGTTCTTTTGAAGGCATAATAATGAAATGAGATTACCATAAATCCCTCCATACGTAAATATATCAATACATAAAATAAATATGCACATTTTCAAAAAGCCCTGAAGAGCAGAAAGGCTACTGAGGGACAAGGTATTGTGATTTGACAGCTAACAACACCACGTGAAATCTTGGCTTTCACCCAGCTTAAACACAATTTCTATTCTGTGCCTCAGAATTATTGGTATTTATTTTGTCAAGCACTGGCATTCACCAAGAAGAAAGACCCTCTCAAAACAGAGGCTCTAACCAAACTCACACATCCAAGATGACAACTTAAGTGTTTTCAATCATGCATTTATTAAAATACAACAAATGTATTTCCTTTGTAGATGTTTTTCTAGAAATAAAAATTCTCCTTTCATCAGCTTTTGTGGGAAGTATTTAATTATTAGAGGTTTAGAAAAAGGCTCATGTTGAGAGTGTATTCTGCATTGGGAACAAAATCTCCATGAATTCTTGAATGCCACCCTCACTGCAGCTTAATGTTTTGCCATATCTAAAGAATCCTTTAAACATATATTCAAAATGTTGCTTTCATTTCCAAAGTTTACATTTGACATTCAGGCTACATCCCATTTACCCATGTATGCTAAGCATTCATACCTGAAAATTCAGACTCAAACTCTTCCTGTTTTCACAGAATCCTTTAATTTCTTTGGATCAAATCCAGACAAATTTAAATTGCTGGGATTTTTTTTTTTTTCAGAAAATGTCTTTCACAAGCAGTTAGGTCTCTTAAACAACCTACCCTGTACTGATATTATCTTATTCTTTGGGCCACTTGTTTTAACTGTCAAGCAGAGAAATTTAGCTGAACGTTTACCACAATAATGTAACTGTATTTATTCAGAGTGGAAGTGCATGAAAGATGTAGAATAGTTCCCTCTTTTCTCTAATACATAATAACTATTTTTTCTAACCTCGATGGAAAAAAAATTATTTACCTGAGTCAGCATGTCCATCTCCCCCAGTAAATTGCTGAACATTTCATCTATATCATCACAGGTTTGCTCCATCTGAAATGAAAAAAAACCAACAAACCACAAACAAGAAGTTAATTTCCGTTCATTTCAAAGCCAGCAATGGTGGTCAAAACAAGAACATACACAATGCTATTTTATATTGTGTTTACAAATAACTTTAAAACAATTGCTCATGACTTACAAAACCATGAATCTATACCTTAGAACTAGTAACAGTTCAGAACCTTTATGCAGTATATGCTAAAACACACACTTCAGATCTACGCTCATCAGAAGTTCCAACTACCTCCTTTTATAATTTCATTTCATACAAAGTCACCTGCAAATAAACCATGGTTGTATCCCAAACATAAAAAAATGCAGCCTGTGACAGACAGAGAGGGAAAAAAGTTTGAAGTTGAGAAATTCCTGAATGCTCCACCTTGAAAGACTTCTTTCTTTGGCTTAGATAACTAATACTACAGGAATTTCTTGAGTGTTGTCTACTGCAAAATTAGGTTATGGTTAGGTACATGACCAACTTTTTGGCTCAGGATTTCTCCATTTTTCTTTCAATTATTACTGCACTGAGGGAACTCCAGTCTTACCTAACCTCAAGAGGCCTGAGGAAGCACACTGAGACAAGGAAAATGGGTACATGCTGCATGACTGCTGATGGCAGCGCTAATTTCTTGAGTGTTGTCTACTGCAAAATTAGGTTATGGTTAGGTACATGACCAACTTTTTGGCTCAGTATTTCTCCATTTTTCTTTCATTACTGCACTGAGAGAACTCCAGTCTCACCTAACCTCAAGAGACCTGAGGAAGCACACTGAGACAAGGAAAACCGGTACATGCTGCATGACTGCCAATGGCAGCGCTTGCTGCGAGAGGCCAGTGTGAGGACAGGATCCCACACCAGTGGTGCTCAGCCATGGGGAATACACAGCTCCTGTAATAATCCTCTTCCTCATAAATCTGTTCCTTTGCAGGGAAAGAAGCAGTGTAAAAGGGTAATAAAATGATAGAAACATCATTTTATTAAGAGGCTCAAGCCTGCAAAGGATTGAGAACCGTGGTACCTGAGGAAGCACACTGAGACAAGGAAAACCGGTACATGCTGCATGACTGCCAATGGCAGCGCTTGCTGCGAGAGGCCAGTGTGAGGACAGGATCCCACACCAGTGGTGCTCAGCCATGGGGAATACACAGCTCCTGTAATAATCCTCTTCCTCATAAATCTGTTCCTTTGCAGGGAAAGAAGCAGTGTAAAAGGGTATCTGCTGTGAAATGCTACCAGAGACAAGAACTAGAAACATCATTTTATTAAGAGGCTCAAGCCTGCAAAGGATTGAGAACCGTGGTACCAAACACATAAAACCAGGGTTCAAAGTAGGACCAAACCTTAAACATGTAAGTGGTCCTGTCAGTTCTCTGGGTTTGTGTGCACCTGTACTGGATTTTGTGACAAGGTTTGGGGAGGAGGGCAGCATGGCTGCAGCGGTGACTTCTGTGAGAAGGAAGTTCCCCCATGTCAGAGAGGGACAGGAGTTCATGGTGGCTCCAAGACTTGGTGCTGGCCAAAGCTGAGACCTTTGGCAATGCTGGTGGCAGTTCTGTGACAGTGCACTTAGGAAAGGATAAAAAATGCTGCAGAGCAGCTGTGAAAGAGCAGTGGGAAAATATGAGCAATATAATCCTGCAGACTCCAAGGTCAGTATTGAAGGATGCTGGAGCAGAGATCCCCTGCAGGCCATGGTGAAGCAGGTTGTTGAGCCCACAGAGGACCATGCCAGAGCAGATATCCATACTGCAGCCTGTGGAGGCCCTCCTGCCACAGCAGGTGGACATGCCCTGAAAGAAGATGAGGGCCACAGTATGCCACACTGCAGCAGGCTCCTGGTGGGAACTGCAGCTTGTGCAGAGGAGCCCACACAGCACAGGTTTTCTGGTAGGACCTGTGACCCCATGAAAGACCCACACCAGAGCAGGCTGCTCCTCCAAGACTCTGCCTGGTGGGAAGGATCCAGGCTGGAGCAGCTGCTGCAGAACTGCAGCCTGGGGGAAGGTCCCAGGTTGAAGAAGTTCATGAAGGACTGTCTCCCTTGAGAGGGTCCCCATGCTGGAGCAGTGTGAAGAGGAAGGAGCAGCAGAGATAAAGCATTATGAACTGACTGCAAACCCCACTCCCCATCCCCCTGTGCCACTTGGGTAGAAAAAGGCAGAAGTGAAGCTGAAGCTGGGAAGAAGGAAGAGGAAGGAGCAGCAGAGATAAAGCATTATGAACTGACTGCAAACCCCACTCCCCATCCCCCTGTGCCACTTGAATAGGGAAAGAAGAGTTGGGAGTGAAGCTGAAGCTGGGAAGAAGGGAAGGATGGGGTGAAGATCTTAGTACTTTTCTTCTTATTTTGCATTATCCTACCATCTTATAAACTGGCAATACATTAACTTAATTTTCCTATGTTGAGCCTGTTTCGCTCAAAGGTATTTAGCAAGTGATCTCGCTGTTCTTACCTCAATTTCTGAGCTTTCCATTGTAATTTCTCTCCCTATTCTGCTGAGGAGGGGAAGTGATAGAGCACCTTGTTAAGCACCTGGTAGCAGCCAAAGGCAACCAACCAGGGCACCTTACAAGATGAGGACCAGGTTGATGCAAGAAAGCAATCAACTGAGGACAGGAACAACTCTAATGACTATAAAGACTGGTAAGAAAAGAAAACCAGCAAGTTTTCTGTTCTTCAGTCTTAATGCTTTTCCTTTAATACAGCATGTTGAGTCATGTAACTATTCCATGGATAAATTATTAAGGCCACTAAACCCTAAAATCAGTATCTGTTTTTTGAGAATTGTGATGTAACTAAACAAGGCACACGTAACCAAGAACTGAACTTTCAACTTTCACTTTTCTCTCATGTCCCAGAAATCAAAGACTTAAAGATTTGGGAACTGGATACTCTTAAAGACATTTTAATAGGATGTGGTTGACAGAGCTGAGGGCAACCATAGTCCAGCCATGGAGATTGCACAGCTCTGCCCAAGGAACAGACATCACACAGGACTGAGTGAGTGGAGAGTTAAAGTCATCTTATCTGCTTCCTTTCCAGGTGACAAACCACACTGGATGGCTCACTCACTCTGTCTGTACCACACTTCTCACACAGAGCCTTGTACACAACACTCTGCTTTTGTAGACTCAGCTGTATGCTGGGTGGCATGTGACTACTGAATCTTAATTCATTTATTTGCATCAACAGCTGTGTAGCTTCCTACACACCTGGCACTTGGAGCATCAATTTTCATAGAAAGGCTAGATAAAATGGCACTTATTTGATCAGGCAGAGTGAGGATACATTTGTTATGTGACAAAAAATGGACCAGCAGTTCATACTGACAAGTATCTCATCAGTGTTTAAATAATGCTGAATAATTTTATGTTTTCCTGTTTTCTGATTTAGGAGATCAAAATATCTTCTAAGGAAATCTTATCAGTTCCAGTTATTTGGATGTTTTTGGTAGATTTTTTAAAGCACTACTAACATCAACTTTCAGGAAAAGATCCTCATACAAGTTCTTTTGACAAACTGAAATCCTCCTTTACGATACTTTTACAGAATAGAAATATAAAAATGGCAAACAATTACTTGAGTTGTAACCAGTTGCAACTTCTTATCACAAGGAGTAGTAAGAACTGTCTAAAAAGGAAAATATCAAACCTCCTCAGTAATTAACAACAACAATAACAAAAAAGATAAAGTCATGTTGCCATCAAGCCACTGCCTGTACTGGTATTTTATTTTCTCTTGAATTTTTATTGATTTAGTTTAGGAAGACAAAATTGTTATCATAATCAACAAATATGCTGATTTTTTTTTTAATGTTAAAACACACTGAATAAGCTCTTAAATTGGTATAAGAACTCTATATATTCACCAAAGATCTTTCCAAGAGCTAGAACAACTAAAGATAGTAATGAATCCCTAAAGCATGGAATTGCAGAAGACTGTCCATCCACTCTTCTTCTCTCCACTTATATCAATTTCTTTTATTTGATTGCTACAATAGAAATAAACAGATTAGAAAACTTGCAGCTTTGGAAATTATCCTGTTGGATGTTGCTGCATTTTGGATCAGCAAATTTGTCTGAATTTTACAAATAGCCTTGAACTTATTAAAACCAGAAATTCAAGGTGAAATATGTAGGTTTATGAGCTGTTATTAACAAAACAACGGAAAAGATTTAGCAAAGTGCCCAGAAGAATACTGAGTTTCATACCCAGTCCTACTTTACTGTAACTTTTCCATCAGGTTTTTCTCTATTTTGTACTAATACTAGGAGCTCTTAAAATCACTACTGACTACAATAAACCAAACAGAGAAAAACCCAACCCAAACAGAACAGTACTTTAAGTTTCCCAGATCATGCATAAGATTCTAAGTGGAGTAAAAAAAGAGAGTTACAGAGCCATGTCATGTAGGCAAGAAAGAGGAAAGAGAAGGAAGAGAAAAAAACCCCAGAATTTAAATAAAATGAGGAAACTGTAGTCGTCGCCAAAATAAACCACAAAAAAACAACAAGCTGAGAAGGGCTCTGTGGGAAGCCATATATGTGAAATGTAACGTATTTTTAAAGTGACTGATTTTCACGCTGAAGCCTTCTGGACAGTAGCACAGTTAAAAGTACTCCTTGTTTTTTATTTCCCCCTTTTCACATTCTCAAATCTTCACTAAGCTCTCATAAAAAAAACCTTCTTTTAAAATTTATTTTATTTAATACTCCTACCTTTTACATACTGTATATCTAAGAGATTGGAACACTCTCTCTTCAACTTCTTATTCTAACTACCCATGAGTCTCACTTTTAGTTTATGCAATACATAAATATTGACTCATTAATTCACCCCACTGCAGAACCACTGGATCTATTTTTTTTTTTAACCTTCCCAATTTAGATAGGAAATTGAATTGTTGATAGAACCTTTAACACTCCACAGGAAGAGTAAAAACAGTGGTACAAAATTCACCCTGCTTAAAAAAAATAAAAAGTAGAACGTATTTAAAAATAAAATTAAATCTGAAAAAGTGACCATACAGTGTACATTTAAAAACCCAGACACGGTACTATAGATACCAAGCAGAGTTTGAACTGTTAATATTTTAGTATTTATAATCTGACATGATTGAGCTAGTCTCTGTTCACAAAAAGTGTGATCTAAGCTACAAACTAAAATGGTTTCTGCACAGCAGAAAGAAAACAAGTTCAAAGTTCTGGTGCAACAGTGAACCGGAAACACCAACCACAACTCGATCTCTCTAGACCTGTAACCAAAGGACTGCAACCAAAAAGGAATGAGGAACAGCATGGTGACAGAAGATAAAGATATACAGTGCATTCATGCTATGAACCAGCCCACTTAGTGATCTGGTGAACAGTTACAGACACACTCACTACACCAAAAGTACTCTTGCTATTCTTAAACTGCTACATACGTAAATAGCAGAGATAAAAATACATGAAGTATATTTCGACAAGTCACACAGAAACATCAAAAGCACACCTTCAAGTCCTAGCCTCTGCACTACAGTGCGTGTCAGAATACCAGCACCATCAAAATGAACACTGTTTGACTCCCCAGCTGACCACTAACAGCTCTGCAACCTCCTGCAATTGCTTAACACTCAAATGCTTTCTGCAGTGGAATGAAGAAATTTTTAGTATTTTAGAGAGACACAGCAGTAGCCTGAGGAGTAAATCGCTCAAATCAGAGATTCATCCTTGTGTACTGCAGACTACACAAAGTAGATCATCCCACAACAAAGACAGAAGATGGAAGAAAACTAGGGAAGCATGATGAAAGTGACAGAGTCCCACCATAAAGCGACAAGCTGGAATGAGAGTAACTGATTGTCATGGAAAACAGGCGTGAAACTAGTGTGATTTAAAAAATGCACCAAAACCTAGGGGAAAGTTACTGAGGAACCATTTCATCCTGACTTGCACCACAAATTCAATGGGATAGTAAATGAAAGTCAAAATAACTGTTCCAGGGAAACATGCACGGTGTAACTGTGAAACTCACTATCAAAACTAGCGAGTAAGCAAGCTGAGGAGTTGGTTTTGTCTACATGCAGTTGTAGCTAGAAGTATAGAATAGCAAGGAGCTTCAGGCAAGGATGAAGAACCTCATAAGACCTAAAATAAAGACGCCACCAATTTGGAACCAGAGTAAAGCTTTCACAACAGACAGGTTACACCACAGCTTCCAGAGATTTCTTGCCTCTTTGTTTCTGAAGTACATGATGCCAGCCACAGCTGGGGAGAACCTTCTGGCCACATGGACTGCAGGTCTGAAATAGATCTAACCAGGTTTCTTGCAGTGATTTGACAGCTAGATGTCAAGGAAAGTCTCATACTACACAAGTCTCTCATATACCTCAGTGAGCCAGGATGGAAGTTCCTTAACCAGCTATTTCATCCCATCTAGTAAAAAATCCTTAACAGACTTTTAGGCCCACTTTTATGAAGTAAGGTACAAGAGAACATCTGTCTCTGCAGACTTCAGTCTAGAGGAACCTAATCCAATTAGTTACTAATTCTAGTAGACACCAAGAATGGAAATTGAAGTTTTGGGCTGATACAACAGAAATGGTAGCTGACCCCAAGGTTTCAAAATCACAATCAGATTTGGTAATTAGCATGGTGACTTTCCTCTTTCTTACCTACATGACATGGCTCTGTAACTGTCTTCTGCTTTAAAACTAGCTCATATTTTGAAAAGCATAGATCAAAAGCAATTAGACTGCTTCCAGCACTGTACTTACCTAGCATTGATAAGCACAGTATTTTCCAATAAAAACCTTGCACACAGTGATAATTCTGAAAGCTGTTTTTTGCTAATATTCACTATTCTTCTGGGAAATGTGGTGGGCCAATAACTGTAGGCTTATCTGCAGCTGAAGTTACACTGCATATTTATCTCAGGGAGGGTGTGACATACTATAACTCCATTCATGAGGGAATAAAAGTGACACACTAAAACACAAGTAGCTTCAGGAAGACTGTACAACTGCAAAGTATCCTTATTAGATAATAAATAAATGACATCTTTGGATTAACATTAAAGTGGCAGATAAATACAATCAAGAGAGTCCTATTCTGATGTTAACGTGGGTACTAGAGTTTATATTCTACTAATTCCAGAATCACCCACCCAGAAGTAAACACAAACATTGTTAGATAAAAGCACCCCAAACTCATAGATCCTACTCATGTTTCACATAAATTTTAACTATGTCATTTGTACAATTAAACCTGTTGAAAGCTTGTTCACTTTTTTGCCATTTTGGAAATACACAGTTATGTCACATGTTTTACAGGAACAAACCTGCAGTGAGGACTTGGAAGATTTTGGAAGAAGTCTCTATCAGTCCAAAAGTCCCAGATTTCATAGACCTGAAACTACACTGTTTCACTTAAATGACGGCAGCAGTTGTATTTGACACTTGTTTTGCAAAGATGATAATAATAATAATTTAAACACCACAGGAACTCCTATGCCATCTTTTTCTGTGATAT